TATAGACAGTACCAAATTACAAAATAAGCCATTTTGAAATACACTCGAAATAAGCTACATGATTTGCAAGCTAAGGGTGCAGTGTAGACATACCCATACTGTATTAAACTTCCAGTTTAACTGGAATTCATTTACTGAGGATAACCAGGTCTAAATGACAAGTATGAAATATACAGTGTTGTTACTCAACTTGTCTCTTTCACAATATGACAGTCCTAAAATTTGGCAATTTGTCTCAGAAGAGATGTTGATAGTTTGACTATATAATTCCGAATTCTTACACTGGTAAATATTACATTTTCAAATTGCCACATGACAGATAATTAATAATACAAGATATTTTACAATGGATAAAGTTATTAAAATAATCCATTTTTTGAAAAATCCATATCTCTAATCAAATATGTTCTTACCATCCTTATTTGTTTGTTCTGTCTTATGCTAATGCATGATAGCCTTTGTATAGATTGAATGCACATTTATATCCAACTATTCAAAATGTAATACTGAGAAAGTTAGTAGGAACTGTATTTAGACACAGAAAGATATAATCTTATTTCATTCCTTAAATATACTGCACACACAATTATGTGCTGATTGTTTTTAAATATGTAAATGTATTTAAAATGAATCTAATTTGCTGAACACATTGCTGGCAGTGGAGGATGAATTTAACGTTCAATAACATTATTTTTTCCTTGTATATATTTTACTTTCCTCAGATTTGTCTGTTCTTATTGGCTGCTTCTAGAGATTAGTTTTTGACTGATTACTCATTCTCAATGAAATCTAAAATTGCATGGGGCAAATCCTGAGCAGTAAATAAGGAACCCTATCATTCTGTGAAATTATCATGAAGGAAAAAACCAATCAGTTAATGGTATAACTGGTAGCGTGTGAAATAGTGTTTGATGGGATACATTTCATGACTAGAATATTAGTACAAAGGGGTAGATCTCATTCAGGAAGTACAGGCAGGGGGAAAAGGGAGAAATTGGTGCATCTACTTCAAGAATACATATACACTTGTTCTGAGGTACAGAAGGAGGTGAAAGGTCAGATCAGTTGAAAGTCTTAGGGCAAAGATAAAATGATACAAAATGGGGATGATATCATGTTTGGGGGCTATTACTGACAACCAAATTGGGAAGAGGGACACGATGCAATATGAGGTATTTTTAAAACCAACAACAAAAATATCTAAAACACAAAACCTAGTAGTAAAGAGGGACTTGAATTACCTAGGTGTTATGTCACAGAGTGCCCTAATGCCCGGAGCACCCCTTGTTGTTCCCCACACAGTACAGCCCCTATTAGGCTACTTAAGGCCCCTCGAGCCTAGTCACAAATCTAGTGCACCCGTTAGGATAATTACAGTCCCTCAGGCCTAGTCACAAACACAGCCTCACTCCCTCAAGGTGTAAACAGGCTTCCGGCCTATTTCCCAGCTAAACTTCCTCTACATTTAGGGCTCTGGATTACAGTGGCATGGGGAGGTCGGAGGACCCTGGTCCCGGCTCAGAGCCCTGTTGGCAGCGACTGCTCTTGCTGCCTGCTTGGCGGGGACACCGGCCGGAACACGCCGAGCTCCCTGAGGACAATCCTCTGCTCTGGGCCACTTCCTACCCCACCGGTGCACCACACTGTCCTCAGCATGTGGCTCTGGCCTTCACTCCCAGTCTGGCCACTCCCTTGCCCGGTGCTGCAACTGCAGCTGGTGCTGCTCCGGAGGTGGCTGCTCCTGGTGCTCTGGCTGCAGGGGCTGCTCAAGAGTTCCTGCCTGAGCTCCTTCCCCTAGGCTATGTCTAGACTGCAAGCCTCTTTCGAAAGAGAGCGTCTAGACTGCACGCGGAACTTTCGAAAGAGCAAGCCGCTTTTTCGAAAGAAAGCACCCAGTGAGTCTGGATGCTCTCTTTCGAAGAAGCCCTATTTACATTCAAGAACACCTTCTTTTGAAAGAAGCACTTTCGAAAGAAGGCGTTCTTCCTCGTGAAATGAGGTTTACCGCCGTGGAAAGAAAAGCCGCGTTCTTTCGATTTAATTTCGAAAGAACGCGGCTGCAGTCTAGAAAAAAGGTGAAGCCTTTTTTCGAAAAAACCCCTGAGTCTGGACACAGCCCTACAGTGGTCAGCCTCATCTACCCTGAGCAGCCCTTTTTTATACCCATGCAGCAGGAGCATGCCCAGCAGGCTTCAGGGGTGTGAACTCCCTGGCCCTCAGAGTGGAGTTAACCCCTTCTGGCCTAATGCGGGAGGATCTTACCCCATCACATGTTAGGAAAATAATATGGAAAACAAGGAATTTGCAATAAGTTCTTGAACTGTAAAGAGACAGGTGTTTTTACAAGTGGAAGAAGTCACTGGGGAGAGACATTTTAAACTTGATTCTAACTAATATGGAAGAATTGGTTGCAATCTAAAGATGGAAAAATATTTGGGTAAAAGTGATTTCATGATACTAAGGAGAGAAAAGGAATGAAATCCTCAAATTAAGACAATGGATTTCAAGTGCAAATTATTTCAGCAAAGATGAAAAATCAGATGAACAATTACAAAATGGGGGATAACTGGCAAGGAGGTAATACTGCTGAAAAGGATCTGGGGATTATAGTTGATCATAAAGTGAATGAGTCAATAAAGTGATGCATTTGCAAAAAAAAGTAAAATTTGCTTATCATGGGTTTTCACACTAATAGTGGAAGAGCTTATGGAAGCTACACATGAAAGAATCACAAAGACAGAATGATTGAAATTAACTTTACTATAATTATGGTCACATTTTATGAATAACTGATTGTAAATGAGTAAATAGATGTTTTAAATATGTTACAACATAACTAGTACATGTAATAGATGGCTGTCAATACACTGGTGGGAAGTATCCATCTATAACAATAGATTAAAATATGGACAAATCATTTATTAATCCTTACAGACAGTTGAACCTCTCTAGTCCGGCACTGTCTAGTACGGCAACATCCGTGGCCTGGAATTATTTTAGTTAGCTGAATGTCCACTTATCATGTGTATGGCCAAGTTTCCCATGTTCCCATAGTTTGTTTACAGCCACCAGTCATGGTTCTCAGTTTTCTTCACTGTTATTTAGCTTTAATTTACACCTAAATGTCTTCTAAGTTCCCAGTAAGCAATGGTTATGTGGGTAATGCTTCTAGATTATACTGACCCTCTCTGGTCCAGTAAATTTTCTGATTTGGCATCAGTCAAATCCCAAAAGTGCCACAGTAGAGAGATTCAACCTGTATTTATAAATCTAAATGTAATGTTAAATCTGTCTATCACATCTATAGAGCCATTTCTGAAACTGAACAATGTCATACTAGTCATTTTAGAGAAAGATATGGCACGTTTGCTAAAGAGCTTAAAATATAGGAAATAACCTGCCCAAGGATTTGAATAGTTAGCTAAACTCTATTTTACACATAAATACCAATATATAAGGGCCTCATAAATACTTTAAATATATAGAACACTGTAATCAATAGTATTGTGCCATATTTTGAAATTGGAAGGTTATTAAGGTGTTAGAAAGGGCAATATTTTTCATTATTTCCTGGAAATGTATTCTACAGTTTCAATACAGAGCAAATTATGTTTAGCTTTCCGTAAAGATTTTTCATAAAATATTATATTGTATGCAAAAGTGATAAGGTTTTCTGAAAGCTGACATTTTTTACTGTTTCTGACAAATTACGAGTTCAGCAATGTCCTCTTCACATAAATTAAACTCGCTTTCATTTAATTTGCTTGTTCTAATGTGCTGCTCTTAGAGATTAATTTCTGATTGATTGCTCCAGCACACTGAAATATAAGTTAGCATGGGGAAAAGCTTGCAGAACGAGTAGGGGATATTTTATATATCTGCTTAATTAAGGACAAAGCAATGAATCCATTGAATCAAATATAGCTAGAATGGGCAGCTTTAAGTTCGTAACAAAGACAATTGGGAGAGTTTCTCAGTGAATACATTTTAGGCTATTAAGTGCTTAAATCCCTTCTAAAAATGAGATTTAGGTTCCCAAATCAGGCACAGCAATGCTTAGGTAGTTTTAAGTGTCTGGACTTTCTATTATTTGTGCAGCTCTCCATTTCACTGATTTGATTGTAGTTATTACTGTAAATTTCATTTTCCCCACCAGGAAGGGCCAGGACACCCTGTTAGGCTTTCAGTATGGTTTAAAAGAAGGATCTCCAGCTCTTTTATTACCCGTAAAAATTTAGAGCTATCTGCTCTGCACTGGCTTTTTATGCATTAATGGCTG